TGATGTTTTGTATTGATGTTGTTCACCGCTTTGAGTTGCCTGAGGGCTGAGAAAAGCAGGATAGAAATAAAGTAAATAATAATAAAATAAATAAAAACTCTGGCATAGACATCGAGAATTGGGAAGCCCTGGCCCTTAAGCGCTCCAGCTGGAGGTTGGCTTTGAGCCCATCTTTCAATCTCTTTTGCTGTCCACCAACAATCCGTTCTTGAGTTCAGAGTAGAGCAACTGCTTTGAGGGACGGTGGTCAAGCATTTGGACAACGTGGCCGGTCCAGTGGAGTTGATGACGGAGGGCCATCGCTTCAGTGCTGGTGGTCTTTGCTTCTTCCATCATGCTGACCTTTCCCCCGCCTGTCTTCCCAAGAAATATGCTGTACTCTCATAGCTCAGGCAGTGTTGTATTTTGGTGTCGATGTTGGCTGCCAAGGGAGTGGAAATTGTCAACATTTTCTAATGTCACACCATTAAGCTGTATTTCTGGCATTGGAGAGGGATTGGCTGGTGACTGCTGGAAGAGCACTTTGGCTTTCTCGATGTTCAATGACAGGCCAAGCGCGGTTGGTGGGGACGAGGGACAGGGCCTTCTCTGTGGTAGCCCCCCGACTCTGGAACTCTCTCCCCAAGGACATCAGACAAGCCCCAACGTTGGCAGTCTTTAGGAAGAGCTTGAAGACCTGGCTGTTCCAGTGTGCCTTTCCAGAATAGGAAACCCCAGCAATATGTCCCAGAAGCACTTTACTAGAGACTTAAGATTGTCCGCACATTGTAAAGGTAAATGTAAAGGTGTCCCCTGACATTAAGTCCAGTCATGTCTGACTCTGGGGTGTGGTGCTCATCTCCATTTCTAAGCCGAAGAGCCAGCGTTGTCCATAGACACCTCCAAGGTCATGTGGCCAGCATGACCGCATGGAGCGCCGTTACCTTCCCGCCGGAGCGGTACCTATTGATCTACTCACATTTGCATGTTTTCGAACTGCTACGTTGGCAGAAGCTGGACATTGTACTTACTCAAAAATCCTTATATTTCAACTGTCATACTCAGCACTTTTAATCTGTACCCATTACACTTGGCCCGGCCTTAGTTTTATTGTGCTATGTGTCCTGTTTTTACTGTTTACTGTTATTGCTTTCATGTTTTGATTTGTTTTATGGTTTATGTGTATTTGTTATATTGTTGTTTTATTGAGGCCTTGGCCTTTGTAAGCCGTATCGAGTCCTTTGGAGATGTTAGCGGGGTACAAATGAAGTTAATAATAATAATTGTATGCGTCTTGTGTTTAGAATGGCTTGTAAGTCTTCTTCTGAATGCGCGCAGACGATGTTGTCATCAGCATACTGGAGTTCTATAACAGATGTTGCTGTAACCTTGGTTTTGGCTTTCAGTCCCTGGGGTTCAACAGCTTGCCATCTCTCCAATAGATGGTTTCCACTCTGGCGGAAATATTATTATTATATTTCCATAGAAATGTTATATCCATTTCTGAGGCCTAGTGGAGAAGTACATTAATTTATTAATGACTTAGATGAAGGGTTAGAAGGCAGGATCATCAAGTTTGCAGACGCAATATTCCTGCTTCTTGGCAGAGGGTTGGACTGGATGGCCCAGGAGGTCTCTTCCAACTCTTTGATTCTATGACACCAAATTGGGAGGGATAGCCAATAGTCCAGAGGACAGGAGCAGGATTCAAAACGATCTTGACAGATTAAAGAGATGATGGGCCAAAATTAACAAAATGAAGTTCAACAGGGAAAAATGCAAGACACTCCACTTAGGCAGAAAAAACAAAATGCAAAGATACAGAATGGGGGATGCCTGGCTCGAGAGCAGTACGTGTGAAAAAGATCTTGGAGTCCTCGTGGACAACAAGTTAAACATGAGCCAACAATGTGATGTGGCGTCAAAAAAAGCCAATGGGATTTTGGCCTGCATCAATAGGAGCTAGTGTCTAGATCTAGGGAAGTCATGCTACCGCTCTATTCCGCTTTGGTTAGACCACACCTGGAATACTGTGTCCAATTCTGGGCACCATAATTGAAGAGAGATATTGACAAGCTGGAATGTGTCCAGAGGAGGGCGACTCAAATGATCAAGGGTCTGGAGAACAAGCCCTATGAGGAGCGGCTTAAGGAGCTGAGCATGTTTAGCCTGAAGAAGAGAAGGTTGAGAGGAGACATGGTAGCTGTGTATAAGTATGTGAGAGGAAGCCACAGGGAGGAGGAGGGAGCAAGCTTGTTTTCTACTTCCTTGGAGACTAGGACGCAATGGAGGAATGGCTTCAAACTACAAGAGAGGAGATTCCATCTGAACATGAGGAAGAACTTCCTGACTGTGAGAGCCGTTCAGCAGTGGAACTCTCTGCCCCGGAGTGTGGTGGAGGCTCCTTCTTTGGAAGCTTTTAAACAGAGGCTGGATGGCCATCTGTCAGGGGTGATTTGAATGCAATATTCCTGCTTCTTGGCAGGGGGTTGGACTGGATGGCCCAGGAGGTCTCTTCCAACTCTTTGATTCTATGATTCTACAGCTGGTTTAGTGTTTGTTTATTAGTCTTATTATTAGTATTACAATATATATATATTTATATCTCACTTTTATCCATCAAGAAGGGAAAGGTGATTTCTATTTCATTTAATTTCAAACTGGGGAAAAACCAAAGTGAGGAAGAATGTCATCTTCCAAAAGGAGACAGGCAGCGCGAGACTACTGCGCATGCGCGCCGGGCGCGGTTGCCTAGGCGACGCTGCTCCCAAGATGGCGGACACGGCCGGTGCAGCTCCGCCGCGGGAGCCCTTCTGCGTGGCCGAGGAGCGGAGCGGGCACTGCGCCGTGGCGGACGAGGGGTACCTCTACGTTTGGGGGGGATACGTGGTAAGGAAGGGAGGCGGAAGAAACAGCAACAACAGATAGTCAGAAAAGCATTGTTTATTATGGCCTAGTATTCGGGAAAGGAAGAGGCCGCCCGAGTTTACCTCAGGAGCCCAGTGGGCGGGGCGAAGCTCCAACTCGGTCGCTGATTGGTCCAGGGCTCCTGCCCAATAGCCACGCCCCCTTTACCTGTCACAAAGGTTGGCTAGGCTGGGGTAGGGAACCTTTGGCCCTCCAGCTGTGGTGGACTTCAACTCCCACAATTCCTTGAGGCTCGGCATTCGCCCCAAAGGCTTACCTTGGCCTGCCGAGCCTCAAGGAATTGTGGGAGTTGAAGTCCACCACAGCTGGAGGGCCAAAGGTTCCCTACCCCTGTTAGATGAAAATATTTATTCATTTATTTGCGACATTTATATTTATTTATTTATTATTTAAACTTCTATGCCGCCACTCCCCTGGGGCTCGGAGCGGCTTACAAGAACAGGCTAAAATCTAACACAATTTAAAAACAATTTAAAACAATTTAAAAACAACACTATCAAACATTAAAAGCCTGTCGGAACAGGTATGTCTTCCATGCCCTGCGGAAAGCTGGTAAATCCCGCAAGGCATGGACTGCAGGTGGCAGAGCATTCCAGAGTGAGGGTGCCACTGCTGTGAAGGCTCTGTGCCTGGTTGCCATTAAACGCAAGGTCTTGACACTGGGGACTTCCAATAGATCTTGGTCCTCAGAACGGAGGGATCTCTGGGGTTGGTAGGGAGTGAGGCGGTCCCTCAGGTACATCAGCCCCAGACCATGCAAGGCCTTCAAGGTGAGTACCATCCCTTTGAAAGTGATCCGGTGCTCAATGGGTAACCAATGCAGCTGTAGTAAGATTGGTGTTATGTGGCATCTCATCGGAATTCCCGCAAGAAGCCGAGCAGCTGCATTTTGTACCAACTTGAGCTTCCGGATCACCGACAGAGGAAGGCCAATGTAGAGGGCGTTACAGTAGTCCAGTCTTGAGATGACCGTGGCCTGGATCACCGTAGCTAGGTCGTCCCTGGACAGGTAGGGGGCCAGCCGTCTAGCCTGCCACAGGTGAAAGAAGGCGGTTCTGCTCACGGCGGAGACCTGGGCCTCCATTGTCAGCAGAGGGTCCAAAAGGACTCCCAGACTCTTTACCAATGATGACGGGTGTAAGCGCCTCGCCATCCAGGGTAGGCAGCTGGATATCCCCACTGCCCGGTCGACCCAGCCATAGGATCTCCGTCTTTGCTGGATTCACCCTCAACCTGCTGGCACGCAGCCATCCAGTAACGGCCTCGAGGCACTGATGGAAACAATCGGGTACAGAGTCCGGTCGGCCTTCCATCTTCAGCACCAGCTGAGTGTCATCAGCGTACTGGTAACACTCCAGCCCAAAACCTCGAACCAGCTGAGCAAGTGGTTGCATATAGATGTTAAACAACAGAGGGGAGAGAATGGCCCCCTGAGGAACCCCACAAGAGAGAGGGGACCTCTCAGAGACCAGGCCTCCCCTCTCCACTCGCTGTCCACGGTTGTGAAGAAAGGAGGACAGCCAGTTTAAAGCTCTCCCCCTGATTCCAGCAACAGCAAGGCGGTGGGTCAAGAGATTGTGGTCGACTGTGTCAAATGCTGCTGTGAGATCCAATAGCACAAGCAGCGCTGACCCGCCCTTCTCACCCCGAAGGGAACTCAGAGCGGCTTACAATATATATATATATATACACACACACACACACACACACACTATATATATACACACACACTAGCTGTCCCCTGCCATGCGTTGCTGTGGCCCACTCTGGTGATCTGGAAAATAAAGTAATGAGAAAGTGTTGGTTTCTAATATATGTAATTTCATTATGCTTGTGAGTAAACAGTATTTCTTGCTGTTTCTTTGTCAGTGTTGATGTGGAGAGTGTCTGGTTTGCCCACCCTGGAACATGCAAGATATCATTGTCCTTCTTGAAGGGTCTCTTTCAAATCTGTGATACTATATCTCTGTGTGTGTGAATCATATCTATCTATCTATCTCTATATCTATGGCCAGATGGCTCTTTGTCAGGAGGACTTTGATTACGTTTTCTTGCCCTGATGAACGGAGTTGGACTGGATGGCCTTAATTAAGTCAGTGGTTCTCAACCTGGGGTCCCCAGATGTTTTTGGCCTTCAACTCCCAGAAATCCTAACAGCTGGTAAACTGGCTCGGATTTCTGGGAGTTATAGGCTAAAAACATCTGGGGACCCCAAGTTGAGAACCGCTGCCTTAAGTATTTTCTGTTGGTCATGGAGGTTCTGTGTGGGAAGTTTGCCACGATTCAGTCGTTCATGGGGTTCTGAAAACTCTTTGATTGTATGTGAACTATAAATCCCAGCAACTACAACTCCCAAACTACAACTCCCATCATTGTTTGAGTCCCAACTACATTGTTTGAGTCCCAACTACAACTCCCATCGTTGTTTGAGTCCACAGTGCTCTCTGGATGTAGGTGGCATGAATATTGGACCCAAACTCAAGGTCAATGCCCACCAAACCCTTCCAGTATTTTCTGTTGGTCATGGGAGTTCTGTGTGCCAAGTTTGGTTTCAATTCCATCATTGATGGAGTTCAGAATGCTCTTTGATTGCAGGTGAACTGTAAATCCCAGCAACTACAACTCTCAAATATCAAGGTCTATTTCCCTTAAACTCAATCTGTATTCATATTTGGGCGTATGGAATATTCGTGCCAAGTTTGGTCCAGATCCATCATTGTTTGAGTCCACAGTGCTCTCTGGATGTGGGTGAACTATAATTCCCAAACTCAAGGTCAATGTCCACCAAACCTTTCCAGTTTTTTTCTGTTTGTCATGGGAGCCCTGTGTGCTAAGTTTGGCCCAATTCCATCATTGGTGGAGTTCAGAATGCTCTTTGATTGTAGGTAAACTATAAATCCCAGCAACGACAATTCCCAAATGACAAAATCATTTTTTTTTTGAGTGGAGGACATAAATTGGATTGTTAGGTGTCTTGTGTCCAAATTTAGTGTCAATTCCCCCAGTGGTTTTTGAGTTCTGATGGTAGTACGAACTAACATTACATTTTTATTTATATAGATTATTAGCATAGTACAGTATCAGTATTAAATATTACTATATTGTCCTATACCATTATATTGTAATATTATTAGTAATCTATATAAATAAAAAGGTAATGTTCGTTTGTGGGATTAAGAGAACTCAAAAACCACTGGAAAAATTGACACCAAATTTGAACAGCATGCACCTAACAACCCAATGAATGTCCTTCACTCAATTTTTTTTTGATTTTGTCATTTGGGAGTTGTAGTTCTTGGGATTTATAGTTCACCTACAATCAAAGAGCATTCTTAACCCCACCAATGATGGAATTGAACTAAACTTGGCACACAGTTCTCCCATGACCAACAGAAGGGTTGAAGGGTTTGGTGGGCAGTGTCCTTTGGTTTTGGAGTTGTAGTTCACCTACATCCAAAGATCACTGTGGACTCAAACAATGATGGATCTGGACCAAACTCTACACGAATGCTCAATATGCCCAAATGTGAACACTGGTGGTGTTTGGGGGAAAATAGAAAATAGAAACCTTGACATTTGGGAGTTGTAGTTGCTGGGATTTATAGTTCACCTACAGTCAAAGAGCATTCTGAACCCTACCAACGATTGAATTGGGCCAAACTTTCCACACAGAACCTCCATGAACAACAGAAAATACTGTGTTTTCTGGTGGTCTTTGGTGACCCCTCAGACACCCCCTCACGACCCTTCCAGGGGTCCCGACCCCCAAGTTGAGAAACACTGGTAGATTAGAATGAATGCAGTTTGACACCACTTTAACCTGCCCTGGCTCAATGTTATGGAATTGTGGGAGGTGTAGTTTGACAAGGACCTTAGATTTCCCTGCCAAGGAGTGTTGATGCTTCACCAAAGAAGGAAAATTCTGGGTCACAAAGAAAGGACTAATCACACTTAGGTTGTTGTCCAGTCAGAAAGAAGTTTGTTTATTTTTATTAAGTATTATTTATTATATTTGTTTATACACCCATTATTATTATGTTTCTTTATAGTTATACATCCGTTATTATTATGTTTCTTTCACCATACAGGGGCTCAAAGCCACTCACAACTGAAAGCATTGCAATGCAACTTAGAATAAACAGTTATACAAACAGTATTAAACATAACTAAAAGCCTATGAAATCACTGCAGCCTTGATGATTTAAAAAAACTTTCTTTTTAAAAAGACTGCCTGAATAGGTTTTGACCTACCGTATTTTTATTTATTACATATTAGCTGTACCCGGACACGCGTTGCTGTGGCCCTCAGAAAACAGAAGGTTTCCAGGATGTAAATACAGTTACTAATAATAATAGTAATAATTCACAGGAAGAACTTACCACTTACACGAACTTGGACTTGGGTGGCTTTTGCATAGCTCTTGCAACTCCTTGATATTGTAAAGAATGTTTTACTTTTGTGTTCTTCAGCAACCCAGATCACTTGATCAGCATTTAGAATTTTGAAATGTAAAATATGTTGACAGGTTCCTAGAAAATGAACATTTACAGCATAATTAATTAAACATTTATGTGCCCTGTTTTTCCTGCAGTCTGTAGAAGAAAATGAAGTTTATTTGCCCAATGATGAACTCTGGATTTATGAAATTGACAGTGGATTATGGTAAACCCTATTATTTTCCTTAGTTGTTCATATTGCAATGTTTTCCACATTTGTAATGTTGCAGATGGGCAATTTCTGATGGTCAGAAATTGCATTGCAAATATCTAAATAAGCAGTTTGAATTTAAAAGCCATTTTCTGTCAGGCCTACCCAGCCAGTTTTTAAGCATGAATTTTAAACTTGTGCCTTTTGTTTAATGTCTGTTTTGTGTATTTTAATATGTATTTTATAGAAATACATTTTATTATGTATCTTTTATAAAAATGCATTTTAATATGTGTATTTGTTATATTTTTTACAATGTGTGTGTTTTAATTTATTCTGTAACCCGCCACAAGGGAGAGGCGGGTAAGAAATAAAATAGTAACAATAGTAACAATAATAATAATAATAATAATAATAATAATAATAATAATAATAATAAACACAGTGAAACCAGCAATGTATTCAAGAAACAATGCTGCCTAATGAGTCAAAATGGAATTTATTAGAGTTGTGTATTCTGTTCAGTATGCAGAATACAAGATATGCATGAAGCCAGATAGAAACCAGTGTTTTACACTATTGTTATTGCCAAATTGTAATCCTTTTGGTTTAAAAAAAATCAGTTCACCATCTATATGTGTCAAATGCATTGCTTTTATGCATTCAGGTGATTTTCAGGGCTAAAAACTCTCTAAAGTAGTTCTCAGTGGAAAATGGTTTCTTTTGCTTCCTGAACTGCAGGTCGATGCACTTAATGGAAGGGGATCTGCCTCCATCCATGTCTGGAAGTTGCGGGTCTTGCATTAAGGGAAACTTCTTCCTCTTTGGAGGATTTGACGACAAAGGCTACAGCAATCGGGTACTGGCCCCCTTTGTTTTTATAAATTCCCAATAAAGATTTAATACACTTGGGGTACTATGTATATATTAACCTTCGAGAGTAAAGTATTGGTTTTATTTTAGCACAGATACAGATTTAAAGACTCTGAGATGCCCAAGCATTTGCTTTAAATAATTCCCCCTTTCAGCTGCGAGACCTTCCCCTTGAAGAAGTCGCAGAAATCCTTTTAATGCTTTTGCCCAGTTTCCAAAATGGTTTGCCATAGATGCAGAGCGGGCTGATGCATGGGATAATTCTTTGTATTCTGGGGAACCAATATTTTCACTTTGATGTAAACTGGGACTGCTGTATCTCTTTCAGAATTTATTGCTGCAGACCTTTGATGGCAAAGAGACCCTATTTGGGCCAATTTTGGCCTCAAACCTGTAATTAAATAAATGACATTTTAAAAGGACCCCCACAATAATTAATTTCTGTATTGCTTATGGCCTGAAAACTAAAGCAGGTTTCCTGCTTCTTCAATTGAATCTGTCTAAGTCATTGCTCTTTTTTAATTTAATTTTTATTTATGCAATTTATATTTTGCATTTCTCAGGGAATTGAACTTTTTGTGTGGAAAGATTATTTTATTTATTTATTTGACTTGTATACCGCCACTCCCAATTTGGCTTGGAGCGGTTTACAGTAGTAGATAAAAACAATACAACCAACTTTAAAATACAATAAAAACGAGAACCAACATAGTCCCGAGTTATTCACCCATCGAAAGCTTGTTAGGCATCCTGAACTCATCAATTAAAAATTGGTATATGGGATTTAGATTGCCTAGTGCCTCTGAAATTAACGGGAATGGACAGTTCGATACCTAGGTCCTAGCTGGCTTATCATTTCTTTGTCCTTATTAAAAAATTGCAAGCAGTTTCACTTTAATAGGAACTGAAAGCAGTTGAAAATATATTCACTTTTTCATGATGGTGGGCTGCCCTTTACCTTTATTCAAAGACAACACATGTCTATCTGCAGCACAAAAGCTCTCCATCACAGAGGAGAATAACTGTTTGCATTGTCAAAGGTTTTCATGGTCAGAGTCACTGGGTTGTTGTAGGTTTTTTCGGGCTATATGGCCATGTTCTAGAGGCATTCTCTTCTGACGTTTCGCCTGCATCTGTGGCAAGCATCCTCAAAGGTAGTGAGGTCTGTTGGAAACTAGGAATTGAGGGAGCCGTTTTGAAAGTAGAAGGAAGATGAATTGAGCCTTTAGCTTTTAAAACAACAGAGAAGTGAATGTTATGAATTGTTCTCGCCAGTCACCATTTTATGCCAATTAGCAGTTCATTTTTCCAGGAATATTGCTGTCTGTTGAAAGTGTTCTAATTTCCTTTAAAGCTCTATTATGTTAATTTGCGATCAAGAAATGGAACCTATTTGTGGAAAAAAATCACAGACTTTAAAGGCCAGCCTCCTACACCACGGGACAAACTGGCCTGCTGGGTGTATAAAGACAGGTAATTGTCACGCGGGGCTCCTTCGCAAACGGGGAGGAGGTGGCGTTAGCGGGGGACAGGTCAACCGGTTGTCCTTGCGGTTTGGCATTATAAGCATTACCCTGCGCACTTCCTTTACCCAAACTTCATTTCTTCCCCTTATAAAATGGGAATCATACGTTATATGTAAGACACCGTGGTGGAACTAGTTTATATCTTAAAATAGCATTAAAATACTCTTAACTGACAGCGGCTAATATTTTCACTCACTCACAAGAAATAAGTGATTCTGGTGCAAACTTGGTTTTGGTTTTTGGAAAAATCTCCACAGGAATGTTAGCATACAGGGACATAAGCTTCCCAGAATAAATTCTCTGATCAAGTAGCTCCTTAAACAATGTAGGATGAGGGGTCACAGAACCCTAGAGTTGCAGGAGACCCCCAGGGACATCCAGCCCAACCCCCTTCTTTCTGCCAGGCAGGAAGAAACACAATCAAAGCACAAACAGCAGATGGCCATCCAGCCTCTGCTTAACAACCTCCAGAGAAGCAGACTCTGATGCCCCAAATAATAAAAGGTTATATAGGACTGCCAAAAAACTATTATCAAATCAGGCAAAACTAAAAGATTTCTTGGGTCAACCAGAAAAGAATTAATTGGTGGTTTTACTTCTGATCTTTTCAGGCTGATCTATTTTGGAGGATATGGCTGTAGGAAACAGAGTGAGCTGAGTGACTGTTTTGATGTTCATGATGCGTTTTGGGTAAGAGATGCAACGTTATCGGTGCTTTTATTAGCTGTAACCCGCCTCGAAACATGAGAAGAGGCGGATAAGAAATAAAATAGTTGTTGTTGTTGAAAGGCAGAACTTTCCAAACTATGTGTTGTGACACATTCATTCGTTGGCTGCAGTGTGTAGGTGTGTCTTGCGAACATAACAAGAAACTCTGAGTCTTTGTAAAATAAGCAATAAATCACATTTTAAAAATAAATATAAATACTGTATATACTCGAGTATAGGCCTAGTTTTTCAGTCCTTTTTTTAGGCTGAAAAAGTCTCCCCCGCTTATGCTCGAATCAGGGTTATTTATTATTTTACTTTGTTGTTGTTGTTGTTTTACTTTATTATTGTTGTTATTACATTTATTATTTTACTCTTCATTATTGTTATTGTTGCATTTATTATTTTACTCTATTATTGTTATTATTACATTTTTTATTTTACTCTATTATCACTGTTACTGTTACATTCCATTATTTTACTCTATTATTATTATTAATATTATTATTACTATTACTATTATTTTACTCTATTTATTATTATTGGAAGGATACGTAAGCATATTTACATTGAAGAAGGTTAGAATAATGGTTGAATCGGAGTTGGACAGTCTTATGTTGAATTACAGGTTTATGTAAATATTCAAAAACATTTAACTAACTGATGTCTCAATTAATGTAATTTTATTGGTATCTATTTTTATTTAGAAACTAGCTGTACCCGCCACGCATTGCTGTGGCCAACCTTCCCTTTTTCTCTCCTTCTTTCTCTCCTTCCTTCACTCCCTCTTTCCTTCCATCTTTCCTTCTCTTCTTCCTTCCTTCTCTATCTCTTTCCTTCCTTCCCCCTTTTCTTTCTCTTCTGTCTCTCTTTTCTTCCTTCTCTCTTTCCTTCTTTCCTTCCCTCCCTCTTTCTCTACATTTTCTCTACATTGTCTGGTTGATACTGACATGATAAATAAATAAATACATACATACATACATCTTCCCTCCTTCCTTCGCTCCCTCTTTCCTTCCTTCTTTCATTTTTCTTCTCTCCTTCCTTCCTTCTCTAGCTTTCCTTCCTCCCCCCTTTTTCTTTCCCTCCATCTTTCTCTTCTTTCTTCCTTCTCTACCTCTTTCCTTCCTTCCTTCTCTCTTTGCTTCCCTGCTTCCTTCTCCCTTTCCTTCCTTCTTTCTTTCTTTCTTTCTTTCTTTCTTTTTCTTTCTTTCTTTCTTTCTTTCTTTCTTTCTTTCCCTCCTTCTTTTCTTTTCTTTTCTTTTCTTTTCTTTTCTTTTCTTTCTTTCCTCCTTTCTTTCTTTCTTTCTTTCTTTCTTTCTTTCTTTCTTTCTTTCTTTCTTTCTTTCTTTCTTTCTTTCTCCCCTTCCCTCCCTCTTTCTTCCCTTTTTCTGTATTGTCATTTAGGTTTTCGTCATTTAGATTTAGGGGCTTTTTAAGTCCCTTCTGTGTTTTTCAGTGGTTTTTTTGAGTGAAGAACATACATTGGGTTGTTAGGTGTCTTGTGTCCAAATTTGGTGTCAATTCGTCCAGTGGTTTTTGAGTTCTGTTAATCCCACAAACGAACATTACATTTTTATTTATATAGATTTTATCAGTAGCTGCTGCATTTCCCACACTTGGCTTATACTCGAGTCAATCCTTTTTCCCAGTTTTTTGTGGTAAAATTAGGTGCCTCGGCTTACATTCGGGTCAGCTTATACTTGAGTATATATGGTAATGTTCTATCCACATACATTTAGTTATTATAATTTGTGCGGGCATCTGTATCTCTTATGATGGATTAGTTTAACATCCGGTTTGATAGAAAAACTGAATTACTGTGTTGTGAAATGATGCATGTCTCAAAAAAGTGTGTCACTGACATGAGATGTTTGGAATGCTCTGATACAAGGACACAAGAAGAGCTGGGCTGGAGTCACCAAAGGGTATAGAGAGCAAAGGATTCTCTGTCCCAACGTTCACTTCCCACAGTGGTGGAATTTCTGTGGGAAACCCACAGGTGTTCCCACCCATCTTCCCCAAAAACTATTACTCAGAGGCATGCTGCATCATAAGACATGTAGCTTTTATGATTATTGGTCCACAACTGCGGTACCTTCCATGTCTTCCCAAATCTGGCCATTCTGTTCCTGTTTTAGGAAGGCCAGATGTTCTGGGGCTGGCACAACGATGTCCATGTTTTTGACACCACTAGGAAAACCTGGTATCAGCCGACAATTAAAGTAAGTCTGATTTGGCATGTTTGACCCTGCTTGGTTGTTGTCTTTTTTACATTCTTTTGTTTCCTCTTGGAATGATAAGAATGGTATAAAACACTTTAGATCAGGCATGGGCAAACTTCGTCCCTCCAGGTGTTTTGGACTTCAACTCCCACAATTCCTAACAGCCTACCGGCTGTTAGGAATTGTGGGAGTTGAAGTCCAAAACACCTGGAGGGACGGCCCAAGTTTGCCCATGCCTGGTCTACATCCTTCCATCTTTCCTTACAGCATGGAGTCCCTCCTCAGCCTCGAGCAGCGCATTCTTGTGCCGTCCTGGGAAATAAAGGCTACGTGTTTGGAGGACGGGTTCTGGTTTGTACTTGTCTAGCATTCACTCCTTTATATGTTACAAAAAAAAATAGGGGAAGTGGTTGATTTAGTACAGAAGAAGGAATAAGCAGATCTTTTTGAAACCATCCACTATGTAATGCTATGTTTTTGTTGCTGGGTTATAAATGTCATTTTCTAATTGCTTCTATCATCAAACCATGGGGAAAAAATCCTTAAACTGCACAATTTTGTTTTGTGGGACATCACAGTGATTCTCAACTTGTGGGTCTCCAGATGTTTTGGCATTCAACTCCCAGAGCTGGTAAACTGGCTGAGTTTTCTGGGAGTTGTAGGCCAAAACACCTGGGGACCCACAAGTCGAGAACCACTAGCACGTTTTGCTCTAGTTTTCCAATGAATACCTAGTTGGTAGAGCTAAAGGCAGTAGGAAAAAAAGTGAGATGGCTCAATTAAATAAACTACAGTTGTGAACTGTAGCAGGAGAGATGATGGCAGGACCACTTGGGGATCCCTCATTTGTGAAGTTGTCATAAACCAAAATTGACCCAGAGCTAAATCAGAGCAAAAACAGTCTTGCTTAGCAAGATTGGAACACAAGCGCTCCTGTGCCTATGCATTTTTCTTATTATTTACAGAATTTATATACCGCTTTTCTCACCCCCGGGGGGACTCAAAGCGGTTTACACACAGATGGCAACATTCAATGCCTTGCAATGGGCACCTGACATGATGCCAATACATAACAGTTGCAATAAAAACCACAAATTAACATAAATCATAAATTAAACAATATATCAACAGCATTAAAACAATAAAACAGTCTCACCAGTCGTATTGCCATTCCAGTCTATGTCTCTCTAAAACTCTACATCAGGGGTTCTCAAACTAAGGCCTGGGGGCTGGATACGGCCCTCCAAGGTCATTTACCCGGCCCTCGCTCAGGGTCAACCTAAGTCTGAAACGACTTGAAAGCACACAACAACAACAACAATCCTATCTCATCAGCCAAAAGCAGGCCCAGACTTCCCATTAACTCTATGTTGTGGGTGGGGCTGCCGACCATCTGACCAGATCTGGGTCTATTCAGGACTCAGACTCCATTTTAGAAACAGTATCCTTTTAGAAGTCAGTAGAAACAGACTTTAGAGCAGGGGTCCCCAAACTAAGGCCTGGGAGCCGGATACGGCCCTCCAAGGTCATTTACCCGGCCCTCGCTCATGGTGAACCTGAGTCTGAAATGACTTGAAAGCACACAACAACAACAATCTTATCTCATCAGCTAAAAATCAGGCCCATGCTTCCCAGTAAAATACTAATAAGTTTATATTTGTCAAAATTGTTCATAATTTTAATTATTGTATTATTTTTAAGTGGTTTTTTTGCACTACAAATAAGACATGTGCAGTGTGCATAGCAATTCATGCATGTTTTTTTCAAATTATAATCCAGCCCTCCAACAGTTTGAGGGACTGTGACCTGGCCCTCTTGTTTAAAACGTTTGAGGATCCCTGCTCTACATACATCTATTGTCTGAAGGCCTATTCTCAAAACCATGATTTTAATTTCTTTCTAAAAGCCAGGAGGGAGGGAGCAGAACTTGCCTCATTTGGGAGTGAGTTTCAAAGGCGAGGGGCCACCGCCGAGAAGGCCCTGTCTCTCATCCCCGCCAGACACATTTGCGCTGTTGATGGGAGCGAGAGCAGGGCCTTCCCAGATGATCTTAGATTATGAGATAGAGCAGGGGTGGACAAGAAAGCTGGGCCAGAACCGTATAGAGCTTTATAGGTCAAAAGGCAGTATGCCACTCAGGTTGCAGGTTATGTTTTAGCATTCAGAAGTGGATCAGGCTGGATCTTGTATGTTGCTATCCTTTGAAAGAATCGTATTGTCACATTTGCCCTTTTAATTCTTTTTTAATAGCAAACACGGATGGACGATTTACATTCTCTAAATTTAGATAGCTGGGTGTGGTCTGGAAAGTAAGTTGTTTTGCCTTACATTTCATTTTTCTGCATGACAAACCACATTAAATGTATTTCTCATTGGATTTTGACTATTGCATGGCAGTTCGCCAACCCCCACCCCCTCCCCAGCTAACATTTGAAAATTGGGAGAAACATGTTGATGATGGAAACAGTGTTAGGCTATATCTAATGGACGTAGATCAGGCATGGACAAACTTCGGCCCTCCAGGTGTTTTGTACTTTTAACTCTCACAATTCCTAACAGCCCGTAACATGCGTGATATATATGGTTGTGAATATCAGGGAGAATATCCAGATTTTAAGGGTGCTCCATCTGATTCAACAGAAAAGCAAGAAGGACATGAAAACTAGAGTGTTGTGCATTCTCTCTTACAACACTAAAATCAGTATTTAGTAGTCAGACACATCTTTTCTTGAGCTGTAAATTAGGAGGTGCTGCTTGCAGCCTACTGTTTGCCTTCTTGCTTGGTGAAGTTGAAGGACTGAAGAAAGCCATCTCACACCTAGAAACAGCTCCAAGGCTCTTTATTATTTATATTTATTTATTTAAAACAATTATATTCCACCCTTCTCACTCCAAAGGGGACTCAGGGCGAAGCACAGCACATAGTATAGCTCTTGGGATGCATCTACACCAGTGTTTCTCAACCTGGGGGTCGGGACCCCTAGGGGGGGTCACAAGGGAGTGTCAGAGGGGTCGCCAAAGACCATTAGAAAACAGTATTTTCTATTGGTCATGGAGTTCTGTGTGGAAGTTTGGCCCAATTCTATCATTGGTGGGGTTCAGAATGCTCTTTGATTGTAGGTGAACTATAAATCCCAGTAACTACAACTCCCAATGTCAAGGTCTATTTTCCCCAAACTCCAGCAGAGTTCACATTTGGGCATATTGATTGTCATGCCAAATTTGGTCCAGATCCATTATTGTTTGAGTCCACAGTGCTCTCGGGATGTAGGTGAACTACAACTCCAAAACTCAAGGTCAATGCCCATCAAACCCTTCCAGTATTTTCTGTTGGTCATGGGAATTCTGTGTGCCAAGTTTGGTTCAGTTCAATCATTGGTGGAGTTCAGAATGCTCTTTGATTGTAGGTGAACTATAAATCCCAGCAACTACAACTCCCAAATGACAAAATCAATACCCCACCAACTCTAACAGTATTCCAATTAGGGCGTATCGGGTATTTTTGCCAAATTTGGTCCAGTGAATGAAAATACATCCTGCATACCAGATATTTACATTATGCTTCAGAACAGGAGCAAAATGACAGTTGTGAAGTTGTCATGAAAATAATTTGCTGGTTGGGGGTCAGCACAATATGAGGAACTGTATTAAGGGGTCGCGGCATTAGGAAGGTTGAGAACCACTGATCTACACTGTAAAATTAATCCAGTTTGACCTTACTGACGTTTGACGTGGCTCTGTGCTGTGAAATCCTCAGAGTTGTAGTTTTACAAGGCCTTGAGGATTCTGTGCCTCACCAAATTACAAATCCCAGGATTCCATAGCATTCAGCCAAGGCACTTCACGTGGTGTCAAACTCAATGAATCTGAATATTGGAAGAAAGGCAGAATAAAAATGAATTAATACAAATGGAAATAAATAGATGTGGAGCAGACTTTGTTGCCGTCATGCAGTAAGGAAGCACTAAGCTCTGGCTTCAGAACATAGTTGCCCCTGATAAATGTGTTAATTCTATCACAGTTATGGTTTTATTTATTTCTCGAATGATGTCTATTTTGGGTTCCACTCCTTTTTTTGTTGCCTAGAATTAATACATCTGGAGAGAAACCCAGAAGCAGATCATGGCACACGTTGACCCCAGTAACGGATGACAGGCTCTTCCTATTTGGTGGACTGAGTTCAGACAATGTGCCCTTAAGTAAGTAGTTTGTGCTCAGAATTGTTGAAGCTGTATTACAAAGTGAGTGCGAGATGGAACTGGTGTAATATATGGCCTAAAATGGTAATACTCAGAGCTGAAGCAGAGCTTTTAAAAGTTACTTTTTTAGCCTATAACACCCAGAGTCCTTGGCACAACCTTTACAAGCTTTAACCTGAACCTTATCTGGAGAGTGACCATATACTTCTTTCTTGTTGTTCCTCCCATAATGTTGTCCTCATAATGTACTTACCTCCACCTTTCTGAAGGCCTGTCTCCACTAAACCGCCCCCTACGAGCTCCTACCTTACATACTTTTTTTTTATCTCATCCAGAGTTTTATTATTTTATGTTGTATATTTGGCCCACCCATTGCGTTTGATGTTTCATTTTGTTTATTTATTTTTATTTATTTACAGTATTGATATTCCGCCCTTCTCACCCCGCATGGGACTCAGGGCGGATTACAATGTACACATATATGGCAAACATTCAATGTCAAAGACACACAACACATATAGACAGACAGTCAGAGGCGATTGAACTTTTCTGGCCGCCAGGGGAGCTGTTGCTTTCATTGTCCATCTGCGACACTGATGAAGTACTTCCGCATTCCCCGCATGCTTTGCTGGAGTCTTTTTTATGGCCTCATCAATTAGTTAAATTATCCTCCCCACATATAGGTGGTACCTAATTTTCCTACTTGACAGATGCAACTGTCTTTCAGGTTGCAAAGGTCAACAACAAGCTACACAATTGGTCAGAAGCTCACTCCAACCCAGGCTGGCTTCAAACTCATGTTCTTATGGTCAGAAGTGATCTTAATGCAGCTGACACTCAGACAGCTGCGCCACAGCTTGTTACTTTGCACTGTTTTATTGCACTTTTATGTTTTTACTTATTTTATTGTGTTGTCATTTTTGTCGTTCTGTATTTATTTTGCTGTAATGTATTACCGGGCTTGGCCTCATGTAAGCTGCCCCCGAGTCCCCTTTGGGGAAATGGTGGCAGGGTATAAATAAAGATGATGATGATGATGATTATTATTATTATCTGCTGCCCAGTCAAGACCAGTTTTCCGCCAGCAAAAGAAGAGTGGCAGAAACCGAGCGGGTTTTCAATGAGAGAAGCACCACTATGCCTTAGGAAAGACAGGTCTCCTAGCCAAAAAATGTCAGTTTAGAAAGGCATAAGGCTTGCTTTCCTCAAGTAATACAAACAGTCACCACCTCATGCTAAAACTTCTATTAAAATGAAGAGGAATTTTTTTAAAAACCAGAGAATATATGGCATGCAAACCAGGCTTTCAAAGGGGGGAAAGCCAAAGCCCAGTGGGCAAGCACTAGCTGCTCCTGACTCCTGAACAGGATGGATGTGCTTTTACTTACTCCATGGCTTCTTTCATGTTCATCAGAAGATGTGATGTGTTTTCCAACTGTTATTAATTATTTTAAAGCAAAATAATTAGCATTAATCAAAGCATCTTTCTTTTCTTTACAGGTGATGGCTGGATTTATAGTGTCAAAAGCAATGAATGGCAACAACTGACATACTTACCAAAAAGTAGACCTAGGTATAAAAAAAGCTAGCCAACATTTGCTGAAGTTGAGGAAAGTATAAACATCAGAACATGAGCTTACCGCGGCCTTATGCAGTGTGATTGGGAGGATGGGGGGGGGGGGGGGTTGTCTTCCAGTTATATGATCCCATTTTTTTTTAAAAAAAATGAAATGAATGCAGTTCTCAGTTTTTGATATATAGTTTTAACCCAGTGTTTCTCAACCTGGGGGTCGGGACCCCTGAGGGGGTCGTGAGAGGGTGTCAGAGGGGTCGCCAAAGACCATAAGGAAACACAGTATTTTCTGCTGGTCATGGGGGTTCTATGTGGGAAGTTTGGCCCAATTTGGTCATTGGTGGGGTTCAGGATGCTCTTTGATTGTAGGTGAACTATAAATCCCAGCCACTACAACTTCAAAATGCCAAGATCTATTTTCCCCAAACTCCACCAGTGCTCATATTTGGGCATATTGAGTATCCATGTCAAGTTTGGTCCAGATCCATCATTATTTGAGTACACAGTGCTCTCTGGATGTAAGTGAACTACAACTTCCAAACTGAAGGTCAATGCCCACCCACCAAACCCTTCCAGTATTTTCTGTTGGTCATGGGAGTTTTGTGTGCCAAGGTTCGTTCAACTCCATCCTTGGTGGAGTTCAGAATCCTCTTTGCTTGTAGGTGAACTTTAAATCCCAGGAATTACAACTCCAAAATGACAAACTGCACCCCTCCCTCCCCCGAACCCACCAGTATTCACATTTGGATGTAGCGGGTATTTGTCCAGTGAATTTGGTCCAGTGAATGAAGATACATCCTGCATATCAGATATTTACGTTACGATTCATAACAGTAGCAAAATTACAGTAGCAACGAAAGTAATGTTATGGTTGGGGGTCACCACCACATGGGGAACTGTATTAAGGGGTCACGGCATTAGGAAGGTTGAGAAACACTGTTCTAACCTGTATCTCTAATGGAATTACTAATATATTTTAAGTCCCTTTCCCCCAGCAATGTGGTCCTTGACTGTTTATGAGAAGACATTTAGGGTGTAACTTTTGCCTACAGTTGGATCTGTTAGAAGCATAACGACAGAGGCTATTTATTTAATACCCAGACTTCCATCTTACCACTTTATTTTTGAGCAGCACATCTTCTCCAGGAGGAAATAAGACCCAAAATGGCCTAATACAGGCATGAGCCAACTTGGAGCCTCCAAGTGTTTTGGTCTTCAACTCCCACAATTCCTAACAGCCTCAGGCCCTTTCCTTTTCCCATTCTTTTTCCATTTAAGCGGTTGAGGGGGGGAAAAGGGTCTGAGGGTTGAAACCTGGCATGGGCCAACTTGGGCCCTTCAGGAGTTTTGGACTTCAACTCCCACAATTCCTAGCAGCCAGTAGGCTGCTAGGAATTGTGGGAGTTGAAGTCCAAAACTGGTGGGAGTTGAAGTCCAAAACTGGTGGGGTTCCTACTGGCTGCTAGGAATTGTGGGAGCTGAAGTCCAAAACACCTGGAGGGCCCAAGTTTGCCTATGCCTGCTGTAACACCTTTGAGACTAACGATGAGTAAAAGGTTAGTAGCACAAACCTTTGTAATCTCAGTCTACTTGATCACTTTTATGGAGTGAAGCCCTTATGGATGGACATTTCCAATCCCTTGGGGGAATTTATATTGCAAAATGAAAAGTCCATACGAACCATTTCAGTAGCTTGTTTGAGACGAACTAGATCAGTGGTTCTCAACCAGATGTTTTGGCCTTCAACTCCCAGAAATCCTAACAGCTGGAAAACTGGCTGGGATTTCTGGGAGTTGTAGGCCAAAACACCTGGGGAGCCACAGGTTGAGGACCACTGAACTAGATGACTACCTCAATTGTGGAAAGTTCTTTCCAGAAAGACCTCCCTTTTGGCATTTAGCTAAGACCTTCCTGTTTTCCTGAAGGGTTTCCTCTCTGGATTTTCCCTCGCTTCCTACAGGTATTATTTTCTCCTTCCTTCTCTGCTTTGGTGAGAGGAAGAATCCACACATCCTGGGTTTCTCCCATCATCATTCAGAGACAAGGGTTCAGTGTCTTGAAAACCTAGTATCTATATAAATAAAAATGTAATGTTTGTTTGTGGGATTAACAGAACTCAAAAACCACTGGACGAATGGACACCAAATTTGGGCACAATAAACTTCTCAGGCCAACAAGTGACTATCACTCATAAAAATACTGAAAAACACAGCAGAAGAGACTTAAAAAGCCAAAAAAACAAAAAAAACATTACAACACATGCACAAAACCACATATATACATATATACACAGATATACGCACATATATATACACACACAAAACACATATACACAGACTGGGCCACAGCAACATGTGGCAGGGGATGGCTAGTCTATCTATATAAATCAAAATATAATGTTCATTTGTGGGATGAACATAACTCAAAAACCACTGGACGAATTGACACCAAATTTGGACACCTCTCAGGCCAACGAGTGACCATCACTCATAAAATACTGAAAAACACAACAGAAGGGACTTAAAAAGCCAAAAATAAAAATTAAAAAACACATTACAACGCATGCGCAAAACCACATATATTTATATGTACACGCACACAAGCACACATATATGCACATATACACAAATATATACACACAAACATATATATGTCCCAAATGCACTTTACGAGAGATTTAGAACTGTCTGCACGCCCACCTATCCCTAAAATATCTATCCTATTTCCCTTGGACATGCCCAGCATTTTATATTTTAATCCTTACAGTTGGCCCTGCCACAGGTTTTTAAATGCGTCATGTCAATATTGTATTGTTTTTGCTTTGTTATGAGTTATTTATAGTTGTATTGTTGTTGTAATGTTTTATGATGTATTTGGGCTCGGCCTCTTGTAAGCCGCACCGAGTCCTGCCGGAGTTGGTAGCGGGGTATAAATAAAGGTTTATTATCATTATTATTGTATATACACATATTATAAATAAATAAATAAATAAAACTTTATTTATACCCCGCCACCATCTCCCCAAGGGACTCGGAGCGGCTTACATGAAGCCAAGCCCAACAACACATCAGTAAAAGCAACAAAGCAAAAAGCAAATAAAACAATACAATTAGTATAACTCAGATATAGACAATAAAACGGCTTACATGAGGCCAAGCCCAACAATCACAACAAAGCAAGTATACAACATAAAATAATACATCGGTAAAATATGAAAATAATAAAAAAACAGTACAGAATAGGCACACAAAACAATATAAAATCACAATATACACAAATATATACACACACAAACACATATACACAGACTGGGCCACAGCAACACTTAGCAGGGGACGGCTAGTTATCTAATGAAAACAAAACTGGATATGACTTCAGAGCAGGCATGGGCAAACTTTGGCCCTCCAAATGATTTGGACTCCAACTCCAACAGTTCCCAATAGATTGTAGGCTGTTAGGAATGGTGGGAGTTGGAGTCCAAAATACCTGGAGGAGGGCCGGAGTTTGCTCATGCCTTCTTCAGTGTATTTGAATTGCATTAGGTGTTATTTTAGTTGGAGGGTTTGCTTTTTTGAAAGATAAGTAAGTTGTTCCTTGAGCTGATTAACGATGCCAATAACATGCTTTATTAGAATGTCTAGGTGCTAAGTTAGAGCAGCTGTGAGAGGACAGAACACCCTGTGTCAGTCTGTAGCAAAAAGGCCTCACTCAGGTGGCAAGCTAGGAGTCAAGGCAGAGGACAGAGGCCAGGCAGGAAAGGCGAAGCTCCAGCGCAGGCCAGTTCCCCAGAGCAGAGATAAGACAGAGGCAGACAGAGCTACCCTCAGGCAGGAAGAGGAGGAGGAGGAGGAAGAAGAGAACAGGTGGGACACAGCGAGAGCAAGGAGTGCGGAGCATATATATATATATGTGTGTGTATACTGGAATGCAGTGAAGTAAGAAAGCACTCTTGAGCACTGAGTCATCCATCACCTTGCCCGGATTATTATTGGCAGTCCTGAACTAAAAGGGAACACATTTGATGCAAGTTGCAATCGGAAAACGTGACTCAGTGCAGGGAAGCGCTCCTAAAAGCACGCTTTGGTGAGAAACGTGTTGAAGTATTGTATGCTTTTGTGTACTGTGCATGTCTGTTTTGATTGTGCTGTTCGCAGAATGACTTCTTTCCCTGCTATCTGTTACAAATCCCTATTTTTTTCACGGCAGTCTTTGGGGCAATACTATTTAAACAAAATCCATCTCTGAAAATCAACCTAAGTGGACCATAAAGATGAGAGAGGGGAAAGGGCATCATGTATTTTATTCTATTACTAGCATACATTAGATATCCAGCATACACCTTCACTCTTCTATTTCTTTCTTTCTCTTCTATTTCTTTCCTCCCTCCCTTAATCCCATTTTTCTTCCCTTTCCTTCCTTTCTTTTCACTTCTTCTTTTATTCTTTCCTTTCTTTTTCTTCCTTCCCTGTATCCTTTATTCCTCTCTTCCCCCTTTATTTCCTTCCATCCCTTCCTCCCTCCTTTTTCTCTCTCCCCCTTTATTTCCTTCCTTCCATCCCTCTCTCCTTTTCTCTCTCTTCTCTCTTTATTTCCTTCCTTCCCTTCCTCTCTCCCTTTTCTCCCTCCCTCCTTTTTCTCTTACTCACCTTTATTTCCTTCCATCCCTCCCTTTCTCCGCCTTCTTTTTCTCTCTCTTCCCCCTTTATTTCCTTCCCTCCCTCCCTCTCCTTTTTTTCTCCCCACTCCCCCCTTTTTCTCTCACTCCCCTTTATTTCCTTCCTTCCGTCTGTTGCAACTCAGAGTAAGCTTCACCTTGCTTCCAAACACCACCACACAAGAGCTGTAGTTTTTTAGTTTATTGAGGAAAAAATCCAAGTCAACATAAAGAATAAGCATTGCAAAGTTCCAAAGATTAAGGTTAAATGCAGAATATAGTTCCAAAGATCTTCAGGTAAAACAGGAGACACAATCCTATTGGCAAAGTTCAAACCAGAGTCCCAGGTACAAGCAATGAAACAATTGCCCCATGAATCACAATGCAAGAAATCCCAAGCGTACTGCTTTCCAGGCTAAGATTATTCCATGAAGCTTTCAGGCTAATAAGCTACGTTGAACTGACACTTTCCCTTGGTTTGCAAGAAGCCTAAATACCTTTCTAACATGAAAACATTACATGAAATCATTGCGATGACCTTTCACTGAGCTGGCTTCTCGTCTGCTGGCCAGGCAAGAACTCCGCCTGACCCAGAGATCAAGACGAGCTTGCCGGGTCAGGTCACTGTCAAGGCTTTCAGTACTTTCAGTATCAGCGTGGGAAGGAGGCGAATGCCTCCCCACCTGTTCACTATCTCCTTCGTTAAAATTCCTTTCTCTTGGGAACTTCTGTGTTGATGTTGACTCTGCATTGTCTGTGCTGTCTGTGGGAGCCGCAGGCCCAGAGATCTGAGGCACAGAAAAAGAGCCAGGAATCTGAATCCCATCATCCTCATCATAACAGAACATCTCAGCCACAACACCATCTCTCCTTTATTTCCTTCCTTCCTTCCCTCCCTCCTTCCTTTCCTCTCCCCCCTTCTTTTTCTCTCTCTTCCTCTTTTATTTCCTCCCTTTCTTCCTCCCTTCCTCTCATACACATGTCATTTAGCAGTGGGCAATCTGCTTCTTTCCCTTTCTTCCCCAGTCACATGACAAAGGGCCACTTCACCCAGCCACAGCCAGTTAGCTTAGTTCTTCTTTCCTTTCTGCTCTAGACCCAAAAGGGTAGTATTTTTGGTTCAAACCCCCTTTTTTATTTAAGTTGAATCATGACGGTTCTGGGTGCCAGGCTTGGTCCAGATCCATCAAGCCACAGAGAAGACACCTTTGTGGTTCCAATCAACCAACATAGGACTTTTATACATAGATTTATATCCTGCTTTCCCCAAAAAGATTGAGACTCTTAATCAGAGTAGAGGTTCTCATGTATGTGAGTTGGGTTTAGCTTGAATATCAAATAAGCAATCATTTCAGATAAGTAGGTTTTTAATTATTGCTATGCTCACCTTGAAGGCCTTGCCATTTTGATAGCCACCAACCATTTTGGGACCATATTGGGAGACGGCTAGGCCAATAACGTGGGTCACAGAAAAAGAACCTGTTGGCCAAGTGCATTTAAATTCTGATTTGTCAAGGAAGAACTGTTATCCTGAATGTCTCTCACTGCACCAGAGTGTTAGAGCTGGAGATAATATTGAATTACATGCATTGCAAAAGTCTTCATACTTGAGTTCGGCTAAAAAAAAAAAAAGCAAGTCTGGCGAATCAAAGGCTAGCATGTTGACATGTGACTTGAACATGCCAATCTCAATTCATGGCTAATGAGTCAAAATATTTTTACAACCCTCACTACCTCTGAGGATGCTTGCCATAGATGCAGGCGAAACGTCAGGAGAAATGCCTCTAGAACATGGCCCGAAAAAACCTACAAGAACCTTTTTACAACCCATTTGAATGGACTCGTCAGTTAATTCCTGCTAAGAAAGTCTGCTCAGTTGCAATAAATCTGTTTTGGGATATTAGGGAGGGAATGCACTACTAGAAATTAAAGTAAAACGGAGACTCTTTAGGAAATAACTTTGGAGATAGTTTAAAAAAGAAAGTCCCTGAGAATTTATTATAACTCTATCCTATATTTTAGGTTGTGGCACACAGCCTGCCTTGGGAAAGAAGCAGAAGTGATGGTCTTTGGAGGGAGCAAAGATGACCTGCATTTCCTTGACACGGTCCGTATACAGAACAAGACGGGTTAAACATGGCACCATTTCTAATAGTTTAAATTTCAAGGGAAACTATTGATAATTGGCTTTAGGGCAAATATCATTTTGGATAGCCACCTGTCACGGGTGCTTTGAATGTGATTTTTCTGCTACTTGGCAGGAAGGGGTTGGAGTGGGTGGCCCACGAGTCTCTTCCAGCTCTAGCATTCTATCAACCTAAAATAGACAAGATCAGATATTTTGGATTTAGTTTTTATTTTTTCTCATCCTCATTGTTAGTCACAGAAATAGAGTTCTTTTTATTTCTTTGCTGTTTGGCATATTGAGTTACTCTTTTAATATCGCCATCATCGGGTTTTCAAGAATATGTTTTATGGATTTTAATTGCATTTTAAAATATTCATTTACTTTATTTATTTACTTTATTTATATACCGCTTTTCTCAGCCCTCAGGCGACTCAAAGCGGTGAACAACATCAATACAAAACATCACGAGACAAGTATAGGGCAATTAAAAACAATTGTAACATAAACCATTAAACATCCGTATAACATCTCATTAGCGTCTCAAGTAAAATCATGATCCAATCTCATCATCCGTTGTTCCGTATTCCTATGTTCATTACACTGCCTATTCAAATGCCTGCTCGAACAAACAGGTCTTCACTTTCCTCCGAAATGCCTGCAGGGAGGGGGGCGATCTGATATCTGCAGGGAGGGCGTTCCACAGCCGATGGGCCACCACTGAGAAGGCCCTGTCTCTCGTCCCTGCCAAGCGCGCCTGTGATGCAGGCCGGACAGAGAGCAGCGCCTCTTCAGATGATCTTAGTGTCCAATGATATTTAATTCTGCTTTTTATTTATCGTGTCAGGAGCAACCAGACATTTGTATTACATTTTTAACAAAACAAAACAAACAAACAGACAAAACACAAAGTTTGCAAGCTTGGTAGTTGATTAGATGTCCTTTGACCAGTATCTGGCCACTTGGAGTGCCTCTGGTGTTGCCGCAAGAAGGTCCTCCATTGTGCATGTGGCAGGGCTCAGGTTGCATTGCAGCAGGTGGTCAGTGGTTTGCTCTTCTCCACACTCGCATGTCGTGGATTCCACTTTGTGGCCCCATTTCTTGAGGTTGGCTCTGCATCTCGTGGTGCCAGAGCGCAGTCTGTTCAGCGCCTTCCAAGTCACCCAGTCCTCTGTGTGCCCAGGGGGAGTCTCTCATTTGGTATCAGCCATTGGTTGAGGTTCTGGGTTTGAGCCTGCCACTTTTGGACTCTCGCTTGCTGAGGTGTTCCAGCGAGTGCCTCTGTAGATCTTAGAAAACTATGTCTTGATTTAAGTCGTTGGCGTGCTGGCTGATACCCAAACAAGGGATGAGCTGGAGATTCTGCTTTAATGTTTATTTTTATTTTTATAGATTTCATATTGTATTGGAATGCTTTTGATGTAAGCTACTTTGAATTTCCTTGTAGAGAGAAGTGGGGCATAAATATTTATTTATTTATTTAAAACATTTATATTCTGCCCTTCTCACCCCAAAGGGGACTCAGGGCAGAGCATAGCATATACACGGCAAACATTCAATGCCGGGACAAGAATTCATATACGCATACAATATATGAATAACAATAACAACAACAATAATAAATGTTGCTATTACTACTACTACTACCACTATTACTACTATTATTCAGGGCTATGGGAATAACTGATAACAAACACATCTAGTTAAACATTGCTTTGTGCTCAGCGTAGACGTATAGACACCCAGTCTTTGAAATATACGCTTAAATCGACAAATAAATAATAATAATAATAAATCTTTATTTGTACCCCGCTACCATCTTCTCAAGGGACTCGGTGCGGCTTACATGAGGCCAAGCCCAACAACACATCAATAAACAAAAGCAATAACAATAGTCAATACAAAACAATTAAAAAACTCAAAAACAGAAATAAGCAATAAACAATAACAATGTAGAAACATACAGTATTTAAAACCTATGGCTGGGCCAAATGTAATAATTCAAATTAAAAATTAAAAATGCTGGACAATAACTTTTGTGTATTGTGTTTTTGTTCAGGGACACTGCAGTGATTTACTGATTTTTCAGACACAGCCATACTCACTTCTCAGGTAAGTTGAAGAAAGAGGATGGATGGCATTACTTTTCAGTAGCACATCTTCTCCAGGAGGTAATCAGGCCCAAATGGCCTACTTCACAGGTATGGGCAAACTTTGACCCTCCCTCCAGTTGTTTTGGACTCTAGCTCCCACAATTCCTGTTAGCCATGTAGAAATATGTGAGAGGAAGCCACAGGGAGGAGGGAGCAAGCTTGTTTTCTGCTTCCCTGGAGACTAGGACGCGGAACAATGGCTTCAAACTACAAGAAAGGAGATTCCATCTGAACATGAGGAACTTCCTGACTGTGAGAGCCGTTCAGCAGTGGAACTCTCTGCCCGGAGTGTGGTGGAGGCTCCTTCTTTGGAAGCTTTTAAACAGAGGCTGGATGGCCATCTGTCAGGGGTGATTTGAATGCAATATTCCTGCTTCTTGGCAGAATGGGGTTGGACTGGATAGCCCAGGAGGTCTCTTCCAACTCTTTGATTCTAGGATTCTATGATTAATGAAGTCCATAATAATAATAATAACAATAATAATAATAATAACAATAATAATAATAATAATAATAATAACAATAATAATAATAATAATAATAAAAAAAACCAGGGCCCGGCCCTGGTTTTATTGCGTAATGATGTAATGCTTTGTTATTGCTTATGTTTTTAATTTGCTTTGAATTGTATTGTTATTGTTTTGCTGTTGTTGTGTTGAGGCCTTGGCCTTTGTAAGCCGCATCGAGTCCTTTGGGAGATGCTAGCGGGGTACAAATAAAGTTTAATAATAATAATAATAATAATAATAATAATAATAAACTTTATTTATACCCTGCCACCATCTCCCCAGAGGAGAATCGAGGCGGCTATCATGAGGCCAAGCACAAAGGTACAATACAGCAAAATAAAATACAAAATGCAGACAACAAATATACATCAGAGTAAAATACAGTACCAAAATAAAATAAATAAAACAAAACACCTGGAGGGAGGGCCAAATTTGGCCCATGTCTGCTGTATCCCTAGATTGTTTTGAGTGTTGTAATGCATGCCTTCTTCCTCCCAGACTCAGCCTTGACTGCATTGGCCGAAACGCCGTCCTCCTGGAAAGCCAAATGGCCCACCTTCCGCCTCGGCTCTTGGAGGAAGCGCTGGATAAAATCACTTTTTGGTCAGCAACAAATTACCGCCAAGGAAGAAAGGCCAAAGCAGAAGACCCGGAGGAGACCAGCGCCTCTTAGCAACTCTTTTGCACAGACTTGCACTACAGACACTTGTTTGAGGTTATTTGAAAGTGTTATTGTTCAACCCTCCGGTGGGCTTGACCACTTAAGCCTTGGAAAGGCGTTGCATTACCTTTGTTGTGTCACGAAGCAGGTCCTAACAACGCAGCAGCTCCACTTGGAAGGCACGGAACCTCACTCTTGCTTCTTGTGAGCCTGTTCCTAGATTGATCCGTTGATCAGATGGTTATTAAAGCTAAACATTTCAATGAGGATTCAGATGGGTTGCTGTGAGTTTTTTGGGCTGTGTGGCCATGTTTCAGAACCATTCTCTTCTAATGTTTCACCTGCATCTGTGGCAAGCATCCTCAGAGTTCTGTTGGAAGTGAAACAAGTGGAGTGTGTGTATGTATGTATGTATGTATGTATGTATGTATGTATCTATCTATCTCTCTATCTATCTCTCTAGCTAGCTAGCTAGCTGTGGAATGTCCAGAGTGGGAGAAATTGTGTTGGCCCCCATTTTCTGTGTATCTTTACAGATTTGCCACTGTTGCAGACCAAAAGTCCTATGCTTTGGAGGGTACAGCAGGAAAAATGGGTTGAAATGGATATTGGTTGTGTTCTGCTGCAGATGGCAGGGAGAAATGCTATGGATGTCGCTTATTTGGATTTCATTAAAGCATTTGAGAAGGTCCCATATAATATTTGTTCAACACCCCCTCTCCAAAATGCCTGGGACCAGGAGTGCTTTGGATCTTTATTTATTGACTAGCGTAATAAAAAACCTTATTTACATAGAAGACAGGAGCAGAATTCAAAATGATCTTCACAGATTAGAGATGATTGGTCAAAACTAACACAATAAAGACTCCACTTAGGCAGAAAAATGAAAGGCAAAGAGACAGAATGAGGGCGCATGACTTGAGAGTAGGACATGTGCAAAAGATCTTGGAATCCTAGTGGGGAGGAAGGGGGACGTGAGCCAGGAATGTCATGCTGCGGCAAAAAAGCCAATGGGATTTTGGGCTTCATCAATAGGAGCCTAGTGTCTAAATCCAGGGAAGCCCTGCTCCCCATGCTCTATTCTGCTTTGGTCATACCACACCTGGAATATTGTGTCCAATTCTGGGCACCACAATTGAAGAGAGATATTGACAAGCTGGAATGTGTCCAGAGAAAGAGGGTGACTAAAATGATCAAGGGTCTGGAGAACAAGCCCTATGAGGAGCGGCTTAAGGAGCTGGGCATGTTTAGCCTGAAGAAGAGAAGGCTGAGAGGAGACATGATAGCCATGGATAAATATGTGAGAGGAAGCCACAGGGAGGAGGGAGCAAGCTTGTTTTCTGCTTCCTTGGAGACTAGGATGCAATGG